CTGACGTCATGAGCGTGCACGATAGGAACAGGAAGCACGCTCACGCAATTGAATTTGATTAGCCAAATTTACTAGCTATGTTATGATACATATTAGTATGGTGACTTTCAATAATTTTTTCAAAGTGTACATTTTTGCTACAAGGAAGAAATGATACGACTTATCTGGTTGAAAAATTTACGTAACTCCTATAATTCGAACAAGAATTTAAAGCGAAGAAATCAAATTATCTTGCCATTATTTGATTGTTATTATATTTCAAAAACGAAGAATTTATTCATTTGTTTTATTTATGCCCCCAGAGTATTTTAGCTTTAAAAATTTAAAATCAAATGCGAAGAAATCAAATTGTCCGGCCAAAAATTGTTGTTTTCGTGATATTTAAAAAACGAAGAAGTTATCCAATTGTTTTATTTATCCCCGATAGTTTTTTAGCTTAAATACTCTGTCAGTTTGTCAGACAATTATCCATTTACGGTCTGCAAATGAAAATATTATGACTGTGTATTTCTATGCTGTGCGGTGACAACACGCTGAGATCATTTTTCGCGACATGCACATCACGTGGCACTGTGACAGTTATTGCACGCAATCGTTTAAAAACAATCCAGTGGCTGGTAATTTGTTCTCTAAAGGGATTATGTTTCGAAAGAATGGTTCTACCGTTTTCAAGATTTTTCATGGAAGACCCCAATTATTTTGTTTCAATGGAGCAAAAAAAAACTGTCACATAGTAAATATCTCTTGGTAAGTTAAATGCTACGGAAATTCAACAAATCATAATTGAAATGTTTGTTATACGCGTTTCCTTCGGTTAACGTTTCGCCGTTCTGGAAGATGGATGGAGCTGTAGGGTGCTATAGCATTGAGGCGAAGGTTCTGTTGACAATAAGTAATGCGTCCCTTAGTTCTGGAAACAGGAAGTTTACAAATGATCCGGTTGGTGGATTTTTTCACGTTTCTTCAGAGGCTAATAACTTGGCCAATGAACATCGAACATTGCTTTATGGGTTGCTCTTAGCAGATGGAATTCGTTCCTTTCTTTTACTGGAAGACACCCAAATTGGATTACATGAGTTCTACGAAAATACGGTTTTTGCTATGTTACCTGTCCACTTTAAGTTTTTTTGTACCCACATACCGAGAAATTTGAAGAATTGTACTCTTTCAATAACTTCACTATTGGCTTTAATCTCGGGCGTTTGGTTATCCTAGTAGCATAGCTCACACCATTTCAGCAGAGGAGGATACTGACTAGTCCTCAACAGTGGATGTACATTTTGCGCAAAATAAAATAAAAGGACAACCAAGGATTGAAGAACTCCATTGTGATGATATAATGATGTATGAGGGCAAGTTCCAGTACGTTTTGCGGTCGCTGAAATAAACCTATTGATGTGAGCTTGCCACGTCAGGCTCTTTCGTCATAGTTTGTTCTGGCGAATTATTAAATGCTTAAGAGCAGTGAAAGCCTATTTAACAGCGTTATGTCTTCATTAATTAAAATTTAACGGGTATAAACAAAATTACCGCTGTTTTTTTAAAATTTTATTTGTTTTAAGGGCGTTGTCCAGTGCACGAGGGGCGTGCTCATCACACAGAAACATCTTGGTATCTTGCAGCTTCCCCAGGCAGTGATCACATTTAAATACCAGTCTGTGATCACGCTCTCCACTCGTGATTTCTATTCACAGTTTGTATGGCTACTGCCTCCATAGTAGTACTATGATTTAAGTTAATTTTTATTTAGGTTTATTAAGATATAGCAAGAGTTTATCTCATTTGCTATGTATTTAAATTTCTTCTCGGGCACGGAAGATAAATAATTGACTAGGGAATCGTGTGTAACTTCATTCCTATCCCTTAAACCTTACCCTAACCTAAACCCAAAATACTTTTAAGTAAAACACTGGCATTTAGGATTTCTTTTCCACGCCATGATGCATGGCTTCATAGAATTCGAACAAGGGTAATATATTTCTTTCATAACTCTTCAAAGTCAGTTGGACAATTTTCCATTTTAATGAGAAACTGCAATACAAACAGTTAAACTTTAATGCCATACATCATCGTGATACTTCGTTTTTAAAGCAGCTATGAGACTGAACACATCATTGGCACTAACAAAAGCGGCATCTAATTCTTAAAATAAACTGAAGCTTAAATTATCACACCGTGCTATATATTGCGTCCAGCTTCTAACGTTTTGAGAAACGAGTTTCGTCTTATTTGCTAGTTGTCACGCTGACTGATGTTCCTGCTTGTCTAGGAGTTCATTATTTAAGCATTCTCCTTTTCTATTCTTATCTTCTTTGTTTGTTATTAGCATCAATTGATTATTTTTTATTATTATTACGAAAGAGATGCTTTGTAAAATGTGCAATTCAAGCATTTTTCATTGCAGGTTAACAGAAGATATTAGCGTATAAAATCTGTAGAAGAAATAGATGATTATCATAAAAAGAGGAGCACACAAAATCCCTGAGGTATGTGTACCTTAGGATCAACTTATTTGTTCTCTTATTTCCTGAATTTTTTGCTTTACATTCAGTCCGTACCACAGTAACGTAATTCGCACCTAGATGGCTGATGAAGTTTGTAGATAATGTAGGATCGACAGTTTTTTACAGAAATCGCTCTAACGTTTTCGCAACCGGCAGAACGATCACTAAAGCAGACCTCCCTTTGAACTTCACCATCTTCCACTGAAGGATGAGCAGTCTTCAACCAGCCTGGCCAGTCAGTACCACATCTGTATGCTGGCACGCGCGTTGTTGGCATTTTTGTTCCAGCAGCTCCCACAAAACGATACCATCCGTTGGGGAGTAAGTTGTCACAGAAGGATGGTCCATTTTCCGGTGTAACGTAACTGCTCTTTCTATTGGCATCACTCAGGTTTTGATAATTATAACATGGGTCGGCTATTAAAATTAAATAAAAATTAGAAAAGATTGTGGTATCAAATATAATATTTTTTTGTTGACATTTTTTAGGTCAATCAGTTCGAGTGAATTGTCACACAACACTAGTCCAGATAGGGGTGTTTTGTTAATTCTATTTCGATCGGCTGCATTCAGGTTTTTATAACGATAGCAAAGACCGGCTACAAAGTAAAATAATTAAAAAATGTAACGGGAATTTAGTTTTTTAGGATCAATGGTTTAAGTTCTTTTCTAACGTCTTATAATTCTGGCAGCTTAACGATCAGTAGTAAAACCTGTCATGTACTAGAACAATGACTATGCATCTATAGTAAGAGATCAAATAGCCGATGTGTAGGATATCATCACTCGACGAGGCTAAAACAGTCATAATGGAAATCCAAATTAATTCAGCAGGATCTGAATTTGAGTTGGACGACAATGGCCACCAGAAAAAGCAAAAGGTTAGGTTTCATCCAATACTGCATTGACGAGTTGAAAATTTTGTGACAAAACAAACGTACATTCGTATTCAAAACCATTCCCAGTGTTTGTGGGATTAAAAGAGGAGTGGCATGAGCTCTGAGTATTGATGCAATAGGCATTCTGATGGCATTCCTTCATTTTATAATATTATGACCCTCTTTACATTTGTCAGTGTCTGAAAGAAAACAAGCGTACTTTACCTTACGACCAAGATTGAGTGAATCATACAAGAATGAAGATTATAAATATCACAAAATTTGTTACGGGAAATTTTAATAACACCAATGTTTCGTACATGAAGAGCAAAATTTTTCGCATCAAAAATCAGACAAAAACGAGAATATAAAGCGATTAGCAATCGATCGGCGATGTATACATCGTAATGCATTAACAATGATAACGAACTAAAAGAAATCGTCCATGCACAACCTAACAGAATTAATCAGAGCACAGTCAAGGCTTCCCTATTAGTTAAATAAAACCTATCAAATTCACCTGTGCAATTTCGTCCATCTCCAGTATAGCCAGGCTGACATTCACATACATGTGATCCAATGGTGTTCGTACATTTTGCATTCTTGTGACAAGAGTGGTTTCCTTTACACTCGTTAACATCTAGGAAAAGGATCTCGCAATTATGTAAAATTTGCTGTGCATCAGAAATTACCTTGTTAAAGATTGCAAGCCGTGGCTGTTGTCAACCTTTTACTGGATTGCGAAAACAAGAGATCAAGATTTCCTCAAATAAGAAAACAAGCTAACTAGCACTACAAGAGTTTTAGGGTTAACTACCTTCCCCCTACGTTACGTGACAAAAATTAAATTTTTGACTTACCACAGTATTAAAACAGAAAACAACAACAACAAACAAAAAAAAGTTGCGTCCATCTCCAGTATATCCAGGTTTTCATTTGGTGTGTGTTGTTACAAGTAGCATTTACTTGACATTTACTGGGGTATGTTTTGCAATCGTCAATATTTGTCAAAAAAAAAAAGGAAAAGAAGATAAAAGATTAAAAATGGGATTTGGTTTTTTTTTAGAGCATATATGTACAACAAAAAAAACAAATACGAAAGGCAAAACAAAAAAGCAACAAACAAGCAGAAAAACCAAAACAAAACAAAACGAAAATATACAAACGAGCGAACGAAGAATACATTACACACGCTCAATAAAATATAGTAAGAAATTGTTCTTAGATTCTAAGATTCAGCACCTTATACAATGAGATAAATTCACGCCACTTTCAGCAACTAAAGAACAGTTGTCATACCAGCATTGAAAATCAAAAAAAATCTCATATACGTTCATTGCAAGTGATGACTCAGACTCATACCCTTTTCACAATATTCTTCTTCGAATCCAGGAGGACACAAGCATCGATATCCCTTGAGTGTAAATCCAGACTGGCAAGTTGCATTATTTTCACAGTAGGGACTCTTGTCGCAAGCGTTCTAAAGAAGAAGAACAATTAAAATGAAAGAAGAAACGAAATACCGAATGATCGAATACACGAAAATTTGCATAAACATTAATTATTGTTATTATATTATTCAAAGGCGACAATTTCGAAAAATCGATTTGTAACTCACCTTCGACCCACGATAATAAAAATTGGCATCAGTTGTCAAGTCACTGTCGTATTTCAGATGAGTGGCGTTATTTAGTTCACAGATGTGAAGTGGTTCCTCATCCTCTGGATCTTTTTTGAAATTAAGACTGACACAGTCGTCGTTCAGGTAGCACATTAGCTCACAGTCATCCAAGTTATTGACACGTTTCTTTTCAATGGTGTGGTTTACCAAATATCTTTCAGCAAAGAAGTAGTAGTCCGGAAACACCATTGCGCGCTCTCGCTCTAAAATAGACAAATTGAAATATGATTATAAGGCATACTTTTTCGTCGCAAAAAAATAAAATTTCGAATAAAAAGTTCTAAGAACAAATCTCTTAGCAAAAATTCTCGGATCTCAGCAAACTATGGTAGCAAATGCGTTAAAAACGTGAGTCAAACAAAGCAGTCCGTGAGAAGAACGATGATTCGTTAAATGTAATGAAAAACTTTGTAAATTGCTTCGCCGTTTTCTACAATTAAACAATAACATAAAACCATCTTTATTTGAGAGTTTGGGGTTTCTGAGGTGCGGAACCTCTACGGCAAATATTTCGTGTTTCACATGAATTTGGCGATTCAAAATGCTCGAACGATTTTAGATGAGTCTATCACATCGATAGAAAAGACGAGCTCATCAAGCACTGTGAAATTTCTACTACAGAGGGAAATAATTAGTGTTTGCATTTTTTGATGTAGCTGTCATCAGTGTGATGAACACAGTTTAAAAGCTCTTAAAGGGAATCTTTAATACCTCAAAAACTTTGACCGGGGATGGTCTTCTAGTGCTTTTTTTTATAATTTGGTTTTGCACTTTATATAAACAGCTTGACTATTGAGTGTCTATAAAAGAAATGTATACTGATGAGCTCCTCTGCGGCTCTTTCCTTCGAACGATACTCGTGAACAGAGGGAATTCATGCAAAATTAAGCTGAGAAAAGCCATTCTTGTTTTGCGTCAATGAGCAGATTTTTATTCGTTTTGGAAAGTTTTCTAAAGGTACAAATGTATAATGAAATATAATTTTTTTAATTTTGCAAGCCATTGTAAGTTGCTTAAATTGCTTAGCTATGGTGCATATAATCATCGCTTTATTTCCGTCATTTGTTTTCTGAAAACAACTCATTTATCTGTTCATCGTTTTAATTCATTAATTTTTTTTTCTCGTGTCGAATAAAGTCCACCCACATCATTTTTCTGCTGTTGAAAAAATATTGATCACAGCAACAGAGTTTTAAAAACACTGAAAATATATATTTGAATAAATTTCAGTCTAAGGAATCCTTGCTATGAGATTGATTATGAAAGAGCACAAAATTGGAAAATTGCACGAAGCTTCTGTGCAAAGGTTTTGTTAAGGATCATCTCAATTAAGCTATTTGTTCTTTGGCAAGTTTTAAAGCCTCCCATTCGAAAAGTAATATTTAAAAAGATTTTGCTTCAAAGGTTTTATTTTTCAATCCCACAAAACGGTTAAAATACAAGAAGACGGGCTATCCTATTTTTATAGACAGGTGTTTAAAACCAGTACAAATTGGTCTATTCCAAATGCCAGCATTGTTCTTCTATAAAAATAACTTCGTGTAAGTTGTCTAAGAGCGGCCAATTTATCGAATTCCTGTCTGCAACACAATAAGGATTGAAGTGGTTTTAAATGCAGCAATTCTTCATCGTAGCAGTTCTTAGTTTTTTTGTAGCAACTGCAAATTTCCGATATGGTCCATCATAATAACTCGCCTTTGTTAAATACTGTTATTATCTACAAAAGAAGTTTAAACTACTGAGGTTCCTTCCTTTAAAATTCATGTTTCTTGAGTTCAGGATTTTAGATTTTTTAAAACGACACTTTATAAGCTCAGTGCATTCACTGTTGTGAATCAGCGAAATAGGAATAAAGAGTGATGGAAAATAAGATAGAACTGGCTAAAATATGAATATAGCGATAGAATATGATTCGCAGTTTGCTACTCACCTTTACCAAACGTCAAGTAAATCATCGATGAAGTCCAGACTGCGAATATTAGAAACGCTGAAAATTCCATGCTTCCTTAAGACAACAGGGCTCAATATTGATGTTTTCAATATGCTGCAAATTCGTGGCGACCACCTGCACTGAATAATGGTTAAGTAATAGAAACCACCTTTTTGTTATTAAAAATGGGATGTGATAAGAATACATGAAAGTCATATATTTGTACTGCGGAAAATACATTTTAAGCAAATGAAGATCATCGCAGTATATACTCAACTTAAGCAGTTGAGAAATAAGGCCTGAAAAAAATTCAGGCCGTTCAGGCCTGAATTTTTTTCAGGCCTTATTTCTCAACTGCTTAAGTTGAGTATATACTGCGATGATCTTCATTTGCTTAAAAATGGGATGTTAACAAAGTGAACAGATGTCAGTCCTGCCCCTTGTAAAGTTATTGATGCAAATAATATACGTGGGTATGCGTTTTAAATTCTGCGAATGATCACCATTTCAATGTCTTCCTTTGTACTAGTTAGAAACACTTTGGTTTTGAAGGGCTAAGATTCCACAAGTGTTCATCAACAGATTAGAAAAAGGGATTTTTTTCACACAAATTTCCATAACATTAACTTCAATTGCTTCATAATTACAGTCAATGGGGTGTGTTTAAGACAATAACATTATAAACATATTCTTAAGAACATTATAGATCCATAGATTCAGTTTTTCTTCTTTCTTTTCCTTTTTTTGTTTTTGTTGTTGTTGTTGTTTTATTTATTTTTTTTCAATCTCAGGGGAAAAGTCCTTGCAAGATTGATTGAAGCGTCGATAATTGACGAAAAGAAAATTTTCACAAAAATATGGCAATCGGCGAAGGACCAGACAGGTTGGCGTAAACTTATCCCCCCAAAAAAGACGGTAGCCCTGCACTCGCACAGTTCGCTTTCATTTTCCAAAAACATGAATTCTTAATTTGGACTATATCTTGAAATAAATCAGAAATTATAAAATAAGCCACGTTCTTTGATGGATTGTGAGTCTCTTGTTTAAATTCGACGAAATGAACGAGGGAAATAGTGTTTGTACTTGTTAAGCTGTGCCACCCACCTTACATCGCGCAAAATATTTTTTCGTCTGGCCCTCCCAGTAACTCGAAATATTACAGGAACACAATAATTTAAAGATGTCTTTCCTATTTAAAGTCCTAAGGAATCATTCATTTTATCTTCCCTCGCCTTTATTAAGGTCAAGATTAATTAATGATGAGTTCTAATAAGCTCTTAAGCTTGAAGAAACAGAAAATATCCCCTAGAACTACCGAAATTCTATAAATTTGCTGAGCAACTTACAACATATATCTCCATAAATCAAGATTGCATAAAGAGTGCCAAGGCAGAAACACTCAGATACCTTAGAGTGATTGAACGCGATCCAGTGTAGACAGCTGCTATACTTAATCCAGAGCCTTGGTGAGACGACGCTTTGAATGTTGTTTTAAGCGCCACCTCCATCTCAAGGATAATAGCAAATTGATATTTGGAAAAGGTGTGCCGTAATTTATGATTTGATTCAGCCAAACTATTCAGTATCGGATCTGGCCTCCAAGGCCTTCATTGGAAGACCTTTTAAATTATAAAAGATTATTATTATTAGAGATCTGTGAGCCAAAATTTGGTTCCCAACTCATTTTTCTGATTGGGAGTCATGCAAATCAACTTCCATATTTTTTCAAGGTTCTTCTATTTCAAAATTATCACTTTTGTCATAATATGAACGGAATTCAAACGAGCTGCACATCAGTCTAAGTTGGGGATAGGACAAAACAATTTGTGAAAGGAAATCTTTATAAGAATAGAAAATAACTGCCACAGTTTTTAACAAGTTGAATATTTCAAATGAAGAAGATTCTTGTCATCAACTCCATTTCTTTTTACTGTAAACTGAACCCAAACAGCGGGCTTCGTCACCGCGTAAAATCCTATCTCATCGCCTTATGGAATTTCCTGTCGTTTGTAGTTTCACAATTTGTGACGAGCTAGGAACCGCACTGACTTTTTATAATTTGGCACTTTTCTCTATTTACGGAAATGATCAAACAACAATTTCGACGGGTGGTATCATTATAAACAAAATAATATCGCAGGGAAAAGGTTCAAGAATAAAACCCGTTGTAGGACACAAAAATTTTAAGATAATGATCTTATTTATTTCAAATAGCTGAAGCTGTTTTCTCGTCAAAAGTTTGTTATATCCACATTTGAAAGTCAAACTCAAGTTATCCATGCATTAAGTGTGATCATTTCCTACCTTCAAAGATTTAACGTTCTTTGGCGCCCAACTTTAGTGTTATTGAGCCAAACGCGTTTTCCTTTCTTACTCTCTGGTAGCTAAGATTACGATAGAAACTGCTGGTTTCAAGCCAAGATGATCATTAATATTAGAAATGAACTTCCCTCTTCCTGTTTGGGCTCTTTGCACAAAAAGCTAAATTGGTAAAATAATAGCAGGTGAAAAATTTAAACTAATGCAACGGATTGCCTTAAAGTAATGCGTCTTGGACTATGAATTTTTATTATTAATTCCTTGAAAGTGGCACGAAATGACATATGTATGACAAAGTCACGCTCCAGTTTCAATAAACATGTGCTTGACTATTGAGAAATTAAATTAAAAGAATGTAAAGCTGAGAAAGTTCCCTATAGCCTTTTTTTTTTGCGAACGGTTATCGTAAACAGAGGTAATTCATGTGAATTGTAGCCGAAAAATAAAAAACATTCTTGTCTTGCGTCAATGAGCAGATTTATACCAGTTTTCGAAAGTTTTCTAAACGTACAAATCTAGAATGACATTTTTAAATTTTTACTTTTGCTAGTCAACGTAGGTTGTTAGAATCGCTTAGCTATGGTGAATATAATCAACTAACATAATAGCACAACCTTGCTAAATACCATTAATGTCTACAAGCCAAGTTTACAAAACTACGGTTCCTTCCTTTAAAAATCATGTTTAATTAGTTCAGGATTTAAGTTTTGTCATAACGGTCCGTTATAAGCTTAGTGCATCAACTGTTGTGAATAAGCAAAATAAAAATAAAGAGTGATGGGAAATAACACGGTCTGAAATAAATTAGTTTTAAACAGAAATAACACCACCCGCATGAATTTCGATTATGGTGTTTATAGTTGTTAAGCTGTGCCACCCACTTAACTACATCGAGCAAAATATTTTCTTGTTTGACCCTCCTACTTACTCTAAACAATTCAGGAACGCAACAAGTTAAAGATGGTTTTCTTATTTGAAGTCCTCAGTAATTAGTCATTTTATCTTTCCTCACATTCATTAACGTCAAAATTAATTAATAATGGGTTCTCATAAGCTCTTTAGTTTGAATAAACAATAAATCTCCTGTAAACAGTAGTTGTTAAACTACAGAAATCGCTTCATTTTTTTTTTTGAGAAACTTACGACCTATGTCTCGATACATTAGGATTGCATAAAAAGTGTCGAGGCAGAACCCATCAGATATCTTATATTGATTGAGCATGATCCAGTGTAGACAGCCGCTATACTTAATCCAGGGCCTTAATGAGACGAAATTCTGAATGTTGTTGTTAATCGCAACCTTGATCTTAAGGATAATAGCAAATTGATATTTAGAAAGGGTGTGCCGTAATTTATGATTGGATTCAGCCGAACCATCCAGTATTGTATTTGGCTTCTAAGGCGTTCATTGGAATATCTTATAAATTATAAAAAAATTGTCAGGTTTCCTACGTTAGATAAAATTGCTGCAGACTTAAGGTAAACGAGACCTGCAAGTCAACATTTAGTTCCCGACTCATTCTCCTATTGGGAGCCTTGCAAATTAACTTCCATATTTTTCAAGGTTCTTCTATTTCAAATCATCACTTCTGTCATAATATGAACGGGATTCAAACGAGCTGCATATCAGTTTAAGTTGGGCACAGGACAAAACAATTTGTGAAAGGAAATCTTTATAAGTACAGGAAAAAAAAACCAAAATTTTTGGGAAGTTGTATGTTTCAAATGAAGTAGATTTTTGCCATCAACTCTATTTTCCTTTGCCGCAAATTGAACCCAAAACGCGGGCTTTGTCACTGTTTTAAATCCTCTGTCATCGCTTTATGAATTTTCACGTCGTTTCGAGTTTCACAATTTATGACGAGCTTGGAAACGCCAGCACTGACTTTTTATGATTTGGCACTTTTCTCTATTTACGTTAATGATGGAACTACAATTTCGAGAAGTAGTGTCATTATAAACATAAAACAAATATCGCTGAGAAAGGTTCAAGAAGTAATCACGTTGTACAAAACTAAACATTAAGGAAAATGATCTTGTTTATTTCAAATAGCTGAAGCTGTTTTTTCGCCAAAAGTTTGTTATACCCACATTTGGAAGCTCGGTAAATTTCATTTTCGTTTTATTTCAACCACACAGAAATAGAGGAGTTAAGGGTGGATATCCAATTTATATCATGGAATGAAAGTCAAACTCAAGTTATCCATGCATTAAGTATGATCATTTCTTACCTTCAAAGATCCAACGTTCTTTGGTGCCCAACTTTAGTGTTATTGAGCCAAACGCGTTTTCTTTTATTACTGTCTGGTAGCTATGGTTACGATAGAATCTGTTGGTTTCAAGCCAAGATGATCATTAATATTAGAAATGAACTTCCCTCTTCCTGTTTGGGTTCTTTGCACCAAAAGGTAAACTAGTAAAATAATACCAGGTGAAAAATTTTAACCTAACGCAAAGGATTGACTGGAGTCATGCGTCTTGGACTATAATTTGTTATTATTAATTCATTGAAAGTGTCCCCTGTGGTCAGGCGCTAATAGCGTTATAATTATATAATTACTGACCCCCGTAAAATCCTATTGTGCTCCCTCTGCATTATATCAGCGATTTCAGTCCAAGAAGGTAATTAGGTCTCCAGTACGGTCCAAGTTTCTAAGGAAAATGAGGGCGAGATACTAGGGTATCCTTCAAAGAAGATCATCCCTGGTCAGAGTTTTTGAGTTATTAAGCTCCTGAATGATCGAATGCACGAAATGACATATACATGACAAAATCAAGCACCAGTTTCAATAAACAGTTTCTCTTCTC